AGTTATAAGAATGTATGATGTATAATAACCATGTAAATTGCATATCCATTTTGAGATTGTAGTAATTGGCTGTTTGTAATAATATATTGATTCTACTTGGTTGTTTTCTTTTCTATCTTCTCTAATAGGAGTTGTATTAAGTTTGATTCTTTTCTCCAGTCTTGCAAAGTATTTTATCAGTTCTTATTAGTTACATTTATTAGCTAATGGCAAATTGTGATTCTATTGGCAATCAAGTGAAGAGGAAGAAACATAGTCACTGTGGCTGCTTTTATTCATAGATATAAAATAGGTACCTCCACTGAATTTTAAAATTAAATTTTAAAAATGAAAACGCATTCTTGAAGATTTCATTCTAGTTTTAATTGAAAGCTAAATGATTAAATTTATTATTTCAAGTAAAATATTCTGGCGTATTTCAGATAGAAATTATTGGAATGTCAAATAATTGCTTTTTTTTTTTTTTTTTTTTTTTAATTATTAAGTGCCATTTTCTTAATTTTTAAGAAATTTGTAAACAAATTTATCAGGTTTAAAATTCCTTAAAAATTAAATTATAGATTTGAGACACTTTGAGTAAAATTAAAAAATTTAAAGTTAAATTTACTTTGATTTGAAATAGCATAAAAATAACAATATACAAGCATTTCTTAACGATGGGTTCCCGTTTCTTTGATCTTTATTGAATTATCGAGAAGCTCTTAAGGTGATGACAGTTCTTATGGATGACCAGAAATGTCATATTTACTAAAACTAAGTGAACACTTTTTTTTCTTTTTTTAGTTTTTAACTACCCAGTAAGTTTTACAAATTAACATTTTCAGCAATTATTTAATATTTTATTGACTTTTAGTTAGGTTTTTAAGAAGCTTTATGAAATTTGCATTTCATCTCTAGGTTCTTAAGTTTACTAACTTAAACAAAAAATTAATTAATGACCCAAACTAAAATAAATACATAAAATTTAGTGAAATAGCAATTAAGAAAAGTAAGTTTTTTGATATTTTGAAGGGATGATTTGCGAAGACGTTAATGATAAAACAGAACTAAATTAAAAGTGAAATAATTGCAGTGTGTCAAAAAACACTTAAATTATGTGACCTTTTCAAGAATTATGTCATGTATAGATTCCCATAGGTAGAAACTTTTTTTTTTTTCTCTTTCACTAAAAATTATTTTTAAAAATATTCGGGTACAAACAACTGTTATGAGCTTTTCAAATTTTGATTTGTAAATTTACTTTTCCCTTTTCCCTTAATAATATCACCAAATTGCATTCTTGAAAGCAATGAAGAATTTTAAACTATTTTTGAACTATATTATTATAATTAAAATTTTTATAAAATGAAAAAATTCTTGTAAAAATTTATTATTCATTAAATTTTTTTTGTTTCCTCAGACAATAGTGTCCTTAATATAACTTATTTACAAAAGCAATTAAAATCTTTTCTAATTAAATGTCAGTTTTATTGCATTTTTTATTTTACAATTCAGAGCAGATTTTCAATGAAATGGGTAACTGTTTTACAAAAAAAAATTTATTTACTTTCTCCAAAGGGTCCTGTTTTTAATTGATAAAAAAAATCCCACCCCACCCATTTAAAAATTTAATTTCTCAATTTCATGATATTATGTAAGTGGGTGGTAGCATATGTTTAAAAAAAAAAAAAAAATTTCAAAAATAATTTAATTCATTTCTGAATATGTCCTGAAAGTTTCATTAAAATCCAACAATTATTTGAATTTTGCAAGAATTTCCAAATCAATGTGTGTTTTCTTTGGAAAAAGTGCAAAATATAACAAACCTTTTTTTTAGTTTGCCGTTGTTGTAAGAAAAAAAAAAACAAGATTTTTTGACCAAATTTTTGAACATGCTAGAAAGTAAAAAAAAAAATTTCAAAAAATGATAAAATAAATACTTTGGTATTTCCTCTTAATAATAACAAACATTTTGATGACAAAACTTTGTTTTTATTGAATTTGGGGCCTTTTTTCATCATGCTATTTTTTTTACGCGACCTAGTGGAGGTACCTAATATAAAGTGCCTTGTTTGTTCTTATTATAGGTACTGAAAATATTGTTGGTGCCTTGGTGTGGGGTTAGTGAGGTTAGTCTAGTTGGCCCTTATTACTGAGTTTGTTTGTTCCTCATGGGTACCCCATACAAAATTTGACATTAAAGAACCTAACAAGGATGAACAGGAGTTTCCTGTTTAGGATTGAGTTTCCAGTTCCTTTCCCTAAATTCTTTTAATACTATTTCACTCTGAGTAGCTCCTTGCATCTTTAATGGTATTATCACCTTGCTTGGGAGTGGGAGGGGATGATTTTAAAAAGGAACAAAAACAAATTAGAATATTGCACTAGCAAGATATGTGACTTTGTAGAACCTTTTAATATTGAAAGAAAAACCAGACTATCCTGCATCTACAATAAATAAAATAAACATTTCATCCTCCTTATAGTTTGAGAAACTTTCTACATTTCTAATTGTCATATCTATTTGATATCAGCAAACTTTCAACACTTCAAATAATGATTACTATAAACTATATCCAGCAGCAAGGTCTCTGATTGGTAGATTGGACATTTTGAGGAGTGTTGAACCACCTCTTTAATTGCTGTTTTCAGGATCATTCTGATTTGGGGTGGTAGCAACTGTTAGGGTTCCAGTTATGGACAAACTTATAGTAGAATTACCAACAATACATTTTACCTGTGATTGAAGGCATAAAATTCTGTTCTGTATATTTACCAAAGTGCCATGTTGCTTACTCTTGTGAATTATTGAGTCAGTTGTGACTATATGAATATTTTACTTGTTTATATATAACAACTAAATATATAACTTTATAACCTTTTCTTGCCAAATTAGTATTCTTTTATGTCTGGTATAGTGTTCCTGTGAGTTATAGGAGAATGTTCCACACTTTATTTCACATGCATCTAAATTACCTTGGTCATTCAAGGATGTTTAAGAATAGTCTTGAAATATAAAATAGGCCACTGAATTTTTACAAATAAATATGTTAAAGGAGTTTAATACATTTTCATTTCACAAACTGAATAATTAAATATGCCTTTTTTTATAAGATGAAATCTTAATTTTCATTTATAATATATTTAGTAATTTAGGAGGGTAATCAGGGAGTATTTTGGGTAAATCTAACAATTACAAATGTATTGGTTTTTAACCTTTGAGCCCTGACCACCGCTTTACCAGTGGTAGAGAAAAATGACAATGCCTAGCCACTGGTTACCAGTGGTAGAGAAAAATGATGTAATGCTCAGTCACCGGTTAACTTGTAACTATATCTACCATGAAACATTACATACCAATTATTTGCGAATTTTGACTTAGGAGCTCAGGTAGAAGAGTTAAAATTGTTCAGGAATGCAGGGCTATATTTAGGAAGGTAGTTGTATACTTGCCTGTGTGTATGTGTACATGGACACATATATTTGCACACACACACACACACACACCATCTTTTTTTATTTGATGAAAAAAGAACAAAATACAAATTATCCATAGTGTTTTCATATTTATAGGTTCTTATTAAAAGAGAACATTGTTCAAATTATTTGACTATTCTTGAATTAAAGAATTCCATTTATTTTTCTTTTATGAATTTTTTTTAGAAACCTTCCAAGAATCAAAAAATTCTGTTTATATCTCTGAGATGAGGTATTATGATTACTTACATTATTTAGATTATCCGGACTGTTATCCTCATCTTCATTGCCATGTTAATGTTTTGGCTGTTGTATGCTCTGGCCTTCTTCAGGTGACTGAAATTTCGAACTGAACATTTTTTCATCCACCAGGGTAAATTCTAGTTCCACGTGCCATGCCTCTTCCAGATGTCTCGGTTATTTCCCTTTAATTCAACTCTCCAAGTTTGGTTCACCACTGCTGTGGCTTGGTATTGAACTCACAACTCTTGATGGTGCAAGCATGTCAAGATTAAAGGATAGGATTTTCAGTTCAAGAACAAAAATATTCTTAAAGAACTCTGAACACAGAATTGGATAAAAAAGATGCAGGACAATGAACTAGTAGATAAAAGATACAGCTGAATTGGTTAACTACAGCAAGTTTTACAAGGCTTGGAAAAAATTTAGAAGCCAAAAAAACAAAAGCGATTGTATGTGAACTTATGGAAAAAAATCACTCTGTTTAAACATGTGTCTTTCTCTTGTTTGATACAGAAAAGTAATGGTGATGAAAAATGGGTTTGGCAGCCTTCAATGTCTTAACTAGAATCTACTGAAGAAATCATTTTGATAGGATTCAGAATTGTTAGAACATAAACTGTTGCTCTACTAAGCAATTGACTTGTTTGAATGATATTTGTTGCCAAAGTTGTAAATGTGACACTGCAAGTTATCAGTTATAAACTGACATGTCTACTGCTTTGTATAAATTTACCATGTCTTGTGGCCTATTGGATATTGGCTTGGAAGGAGAAATTGGAGAGCCAAGTTTAGATTCATTACATTATGCACAAATACCTTTTGGGAAAGGTATGAATCCAGCTCTTCTCTTCTCTTCTCTCAGCTAGATGCTAAATAGTGGAACAAACCTGGTCCTGTAGCAGTCTACTGCAGAAAGAAATGTCAACCTACCTACTTCAAGAAAATCTCTGCCTAGTCATTCATGAATTGGAAGAGACTGGATTGCCCAAGTGTCTATCACGTACAGTACTTAACTGATTGACTGACTGATAAATTCACTTGAAATATCTTTTTTGTTTGTTTTAAATTGTTATACTGGAAATTTCTCTTGGAAAATGAACAATTGTTTTTTTAGTCAGACTTCACACCCACTAATCCTGTCTTTGTAGAAACTAAACCTACTTGGGTGATTCCAAAGTAACACCAATCCTCCACTCACCATGTTGTTTTTTTTTGTTTTTTTTTTATCTGTCTTGAGTCATGATTTATAGAAATGAAAAAGGAAATCCAATTTGTTTATAATGAAATTTTCTTTCTTTCAGGTACTTTGAGGGCGGAGTATCTTCAGTCTACCTCTGGGATTTGGACCATGGTTTTGCTGGTGTTGTATTGATTAAAAAAGCTGGTGATGGTTCTAAGAAGATCAAAGGTTGCTGGGATTCCATACATGTGATGGAAGTACAGGTGGGTAGAATTGATAAGGCATTTTCAAAATTTCTCCCAAGATATTTTACCTTGTCAGTGTTGGATCTGTAAATTCCTCATTCAATTTTTTAATTGGCTATCCTAATTTTATTAACATATTTTCTTGTGTATGATATGTGACCAAGTATTTCTGAAGCTGAAAACAGGCAATTAATTACGTCCTTTAGTATAATACAGCCATTCCTGTAATACAGTACCATATTATACACTAAAATCTGTGTTGTACATATATTTCACTAAAATATTTAATTTTTCACAATATTAAAGAATAGAAATGAATGAATAGCCATTGCTTGTTTCTTTACTTTTTTTTTTTTTTTTTTTTTTTTTAACTAGACATACCATGGACCATGCTTTTCTATTTGATATAACTTTATTATATTTCTATATATTAATAAACTATGAAAATAAAAACAGATTGTTTTTCATAAAGAATGAAGAGAGAGAACTTTTATAAAAAAAACAAGAAAATCAAAATATAAACAAACTTTATCTTGTGAACAAAACAGTTTGAAATTTAATTACATTGATTCCCAAAGAACAAATATTGCCAACATGTCAAAAACCTTTTGTAAACAATTGTTATTAACACCTGTTTATTTTGTTTTATTGTATATTGTGTTGAATGTACTTCTAATTTTACTGTTTTAAGTAAGGTTGAGTAAAAATAATCAGAGTAAAAAAAACCCAAAAAAAACCGTTTCTGAATACGTGTACTTGTGTATAATACGACCTCCCTTTTTTTCTGTCTTTAAGCCTTAACACTCTGCATTATTAATATTACTTTTTTTTTTTTTTTCACTGCTTTCTTCTTCAATGCCTCTTAATTGTAGCATCCTAATTGTTAATTTCACTCAAAGTTGTTTTTCTGTTGCCATAGCAGGATATGACAGCACAACTATGGAATTCAAATTCAGGGATCAGTGTCACAATAAATTTTTTGTACAGCAAATGAAGTCTCACAGTGATAAAAATTAATTTTCATGAAAAATTTCTTGTACACAAGAAAATATGGTACTACTGAAGATAAGTACTCTGATCGTGCTGGGTTTTGGCAGTTGATTATTTTATGCTGTCTGTTCTTAGAAAATTATTGCTAAAATAATAAAGGCATTTAATGCATAACGGAAATATTATGTAAAAATTTATTTTGTTGGCATGGAGTTTTTTCTACAGTGTTATCATTCTGTACATGGCTTTTGTATGTTTCAAGTCGGTTCAAGTACTTACATAATCATATTGTGATGTCTTTTTTTTTGAGGGACGATGCTCATAACAAAATGAAATCTTTTTTTTTTTTCATTTTGTCATTCAGTTACCTGCTATTAGTTTGATATATAAATTTATGTCATATCTTCCATGGTCACATCTATTATAAAGAAAAAAGTGCTGATAGCATAACTGTTATTAGTATAGAAAATGGTAAATACAAACTAAGTAGAAATTCCAGCCTAATTTATTACATTCACTTTCGTACAAATGCTCTTGGAAAAGACATGAAACCTTCTCCCCCATGTACTATGTACGATGATAAACTACATCTGATCAGGAGGTTTTGAGGAGCATGGAACCATCTCTTAATTGCTACTGTTCCCAGGTCCACTCTGACCCAGGGTGGTAGCACCTGTTAGGGGGTTTCAGCTATAGGCAAACAGTTAACCCCCAGATTAGGGTCAAAACACTATGAAAGAATAAAAATAAATTTTTATAGTAAAAATACCAGCAATACATTGACAAGAACCTTTTTTACAAAAATACGTCAATGAAATCTGATCTACAAACTGATTTCTTACAAAGAACATATATTCTTTTCATACTAACTTATCGTAAAAAATTTAGTCGGCATTAAATAATCAATTGAGCTTGATATACCACAAAAACAAACCAAAAACCAATTTCTCTCTCAGGTATAGGTTAAATGACGGGGTATACGGGGATCTTTGGGTAAAACAGCCAGGTTAAAAGAACATTACAGATTAGTTTTACTTTATTTTTTTTATTCTTACAAAAAGGGGTTTTATATAAAGTTGTTTCATATTAAAGAAGTTGATTTCATTTTTCATGAATTTTAACAAAAATACCCTCTTTTCTATAAGCTTTTCATTATTTTCTTTAAATTAGGTTTCTTTAAATGATGTCATCCAACTCCATAATGGATCAGCCGGTATCCATATGTAAGGGAGGCAACTGATCTATTATTTTTTTTAACTTCTATATGTATCCGTCATAAACAATATTTTTCCCGCCACTGGATACCATTGTAAAACTTTAAAATATTTGTTAGCTATTTATAAAAATCTTACTCTACAAGACTACTTGTGTTTTATAAAAGTCAATTGGTAGACATATTTGAATATTATTAAAAATGCTTGCTATTCAAAATTCTGTGGTGTTTGAACACATGATTTGATCTGATTAAAAGTAATCCAGGTCACATGGCGCAATACCTCACAGAGATAATCTATAACTCTCATTGGAGTGTTGTAAGGCATTTAAAAACATTTAGATATATGAATTGCTACATATTTGGATGAATCATGATTTAATGGAAATAAATTTAATGTGTCCATTTGCAATTCTCTGCTCAAATGCAACAAAAATGACCCATTTTTGAAAAGAACAATCACAGCTAATGAAAAATGGATTATTCACAACAATGTAGGGCATAAAAGGTCCTGGTGGGGGGGAAAATGAAGTGAACTACTATTAACCACTTTAAGAGACGATCTACATCAATAGAAGGTGATACTGTATATCTGATGGAATTGGATGGGTATTGTTTAGTATGAGCACCTTCTTCAAAACTGCACATTTAATTTGCTGTTCCTGATAGGACCAGTTTTCAATGAAAAGTGTTTTCTGGAATTGGTTAATCAAAATGGTGTCATTGTCTATCAGGACAACACCATACCTTGCAATAGAAATTCTCATTTTATCTGGAATGTTCTACTACGTCTGCTGTGCTCCTTTTCGTTTACTACTTCATCCCTATAAAATTCTTTTAATGTGAAGGACTTCACTTATCTGGAAATCTGTAAAAACCACTTAGACGAGTTTCTCACCCAGAAAAATGTTCTGGGAGGATGGAATCCTGAAGCTGCCTTAAAGATGGTGAAAAGTAGTCAAACAAAATGGCACATGTGTGGTTGAATAAATCTATTTACAAATGTCTAAATATTGTTTGAAATTCACTTAAGAAATGTTACTCAATACAGCATGATACATACAAATGTTGATGATTTAAAAAGTTTTTTTAATTCTGACTTGATCAATTTTTTGCTGTATATTTTCAGGAAAAATCCAGTGGTAAAACGGCACATTACAAGTTAACTTCCACTGTAATGCTGTGGCTGCTAACCACAAAAGAAGGCTCTGGAACCATGAACTTGGGAGGAAGCCTCACCAGACAGGTAAGAATTAAGCAATCTGATAAAAAAAAAAAGCCTATCTCCAGTTTCCTTGTCTAATTCAGGTCAAGATGTAGCAAGTAATCTTTCTCTCTCTATCTGGAAGGATTAACAAAAACTAAACGAATTTAAAAATTGGTTTTACTAGATTATTATATGAAATTTGGTTGCTCATAAAATCTTATGTGGATGAATAAAAGAATGTCCTTTCTTTTTATATGAAGATAAGATATCCAAGTAATATATATATATATATATATATATATATATATTTTTAATGCATGCTCAACCATAAAATTCAAAGGTAAAAAAAGAATTCCATAATGGAAAACTATTCACATTCTAATGAATGCTAAAGCATAACTGTCAGGTATAGCATTTAAACGCTAAAGAAAAATTCAGTAATGGATAGTAACACTTAGTTTTTGCCTTACTAGTTGCACCTCTAATGATGATCTCAGAAACATGGAAAGTACTTGGCAAATAAGTGATTTTCACTGTTACAGTACATTTCTTGCCTCATTTAATTGTAACATGTGAAAAAATATTTGAATATGAAAGGATTATGATCAAAATAAGCAGACATAATGTTTGTAATTTATTCAGACATGCCTAAATACACACACACACACACACAGACACATATATATATATATATATATATATATATACACACATACATACATATAAATGCTCTTTAGTTTCAATGGACCGATTTAAAATCCAATAAACAGCTCTTATATTGGTCATTAGATATGATAAGGTAATTTGATTTATGGTGCCCACTTAGAGACCCCAACACTTTTTTTTTTCTTAGTTTTCTTTCTTTCATTCTACCCTGAAGTAGCCAAAGGGAGCAGATGTTCTCAGCGAAACCTGTTGTTTATAGCTTTTCCACTTTCTCATTATCTTTACTTTTGTTTATACAATTGATACTATTATATATCCTACACACACACTTCCCTGAGGAAGTACTCTAAATTTTATAAACCTTAAATAACTTTATCTTATTTTACTTTTTTCTTTGTTCCAATTTCAGATAGAAACTGATGCCCCTGTAGGTGAATCTTCACCTCATATTGTGAATATAGGCAAAATGATTGAGGTAAATAATTTTTTAAGCTTTTTTTTTTTTTTTATTTTTACCTAATGCTTAATTGGTTTGTTACCTAAAATCTCCCCTCCCCTCTGAATGACTCGATGTCTAATAGTAGGATTGATCGTCTATTATTTTTGACATATTAAATCACTCACTTAGTATTAGTTCTGATCATATATTATGCACACCTTCCCCCTCCCCCCAGACACATGCTTACTAGATTTGTGTTTAGTTGTATTGGAATTTTTAAAAATGATCTGCTTACTTATATATACTTGAGTATAGTGTAAGTTTTTATGATCATTTTTTTTAATGCAAAAAATAGGGGATTGCACTTTATACAGGTAAATTGGCAGTGTTACAATTCATGCTTTTTTGGTAACTGTAACCTACCTTGTAGGCCTACATTCTTATAGTACCTTTTAGCTAACTTTAAGGGTACAGGCAAGCTTCATCAGCCTGCTTCCAGTATCCTACATTCTTTCTTTATGTTGCTACATGAACAGAACATCATTTGTTTAACAAGCATAAAAATTTAATCCGTTATTGCTTTCTGTAAAGATTTAATTGCCTCGATTGTCCAAATAATTGTCCATCGCTATAGGTTAACCAGCACCTGCTGACCAGCAACAAAGACACTCCAACAACACTATACATATTTAAGCAACCTCATTTTCTAGCAAAATAAAGCCAAAAATGTATGTATGAAGTAATTTTTACTTAGAATGACTTGAATTATCATAACCTGAAGTATGTACTGGTAATCTTGATGACAACGTTGTCAATGGAAAGGCAATGTGTCAGCAATGTAAACACTTGCAAAACAAATGCAAATTTGAGATAGGTAGAAAAAAAATCTTCGTTTATATAAGGTATTTGTTGATTTTAAGTGACATACATAGTGGATGAGGTTTTGGTTTCATGTAGCGACAAAAAGGGAAGAAACTTAGGCTACATAGGAGGGAAGCTCAGGCTAAAGTGCTACCGTAGAACAAAAACAAAAGTACAATATCTAAATCTTTGTATCAGATGTTTTAGTGAAGTGGTTTTTCTTGCCATTTTGGGGTATCTTTGCACAAAAAAGAATTTACTATGAAATATGTCCAGTACTGCAATATTTGATTTACAGTAGGCCTACTAGTATTGGTCAGAATCTGTGGTGGAATTATGCATAAGCTATATGAAATATATATTTTTCTCTCGCTCTCTTTTTTTTTTTTTTTTGGCATGTCTTTGTTAGACCTACATGTTTCACTTTTTAAAAAGTATTTGGCATTAGTGAACTTTTGATTGCTTTTTTTTTTTTTTTTTTTTTTATATAAATATTGCGACTTTATCAGAATGTGATTTTCTTTCTCACTTTCACTTTTCCTCTCTCTCTCACTTCATATCTTTTTTTTCTTTTTTTTTTCTTTCCAGGACATGGAAAATAAAATTAGAAATACACTTAATGAAATTTATTTTGGCAAGACAAAGGACATTGTAAATGGGCTGAGGTCGGTGATGCCTCTTCAAGATTATAAGCAGGCAGAAGCTTTACGTAATGACTTAGTAATGGCCCTACAGAAACGTCCACAGGCTCAATGATGATAGAAGATTGCAGCAGTTACAAACTACTTACACATGTGCATACATGCATACTGCATACATACATACACACAATAAAAAAGAAAATTGTTTTTCTTTGGTCTTCAGAGAGAAAAAAAAATTGCCTACCATCTTATGTACAAGCTACAAATAAGATTGGAAAAAATTTTCGATACAATTTCAGTTTTGAATTTTATCTTTAAATTTTTTTTTTTTTTTTTTTTTTTTTTTTTTTTTTAAGAAACAAATTCCCCCAAAAAAAGACGACATATGTGTAACTACATTTTAAACAAAACAATTTTGTGCGCATAAATTTTTTTTTTTTTTTTTTCTTGGATATTCCCCCCCTTTTATCTCAATTCCATCTTTCAATTTTCAAAAGAAAAAAAAATAAACAGCAGCAGCAGCCCAAACTGAAACCAGAAAAAGGAACAATACATAAAAATCAAAGAAGCAAAAATAAAGAAGAAATCCCCTTTTTAATCTGACTGGGTGTAAATGTGTGAAAGATTGCAATAACTGTATATTTGAAGATGGTGAAATCTTGTCCCGGACATGACTGCTTTAGCGTAAAGGTTGAATAATGGTCAGATGGTGTGTCATAAGCCTATTGAGTAGGGTCCAGCATTACAATTATTAATATTATTATTATTATTATTTCTATTATTTCTATTATTTTTACTGGACAGGCAAGTATGGCCAGGTTCCATCTTAGTGTGTTCTCTATGACCAGTGTTCAAAATATTGGCGATTGGCAACAAAATTATTTTTACTTTTTTTCTTGCTGATGTGTTCTTGAAAAATAAAAAAAAATTTGGACAAAAAAAAATTCAAAAGAGGAAAAAAAAAAAAAAAAAACGAAAAATATAATGCGAATAATTGAATAAATGATTAACATTTAAACACAGATATTATTATTTTTTTTTATTTTTTATTTTTTTTTTTTTTTTTTTTTTTATATATGTATATACAATTGCAGATACAGACTCTTGTTTATGTCTGTTATTTTTCTTGAAACAGCTTTTAGTTAAGCGAGGGCTGCATGACCCAAACTGTAGCAATTTGAGGTTAACCAGAAGACTAACACATCACTGCAACTATTCATAATCATTTGAAAAACACTTTTATTACAAAGAAAAAGAAAAAAAAAGACCTCCAAATAGCTTTGGCATATATATATATATATATATATATATACCTTTTTACTTCCTGAAAAATAAAAGTAAGCCAGTTCAAGACTTTTATTCTTGTGTCCAGAATAGATAGATGACCAACCAGCTATTTTTTATTTATTATTTTTTTTTTTTTTTTTTTTTTTTTATCTACCCACTGATATTCCAGACCCCCACTCTGTTTATTAAACTTGTTTTACAACTTATCCATTTATTCTCACCTTTTTAAAACTCATCTTTTAATTTTGAATGAATTGTCCAATTTCCTTTCCTTTTTTTTTTTTTTTTTTTTTAATATTATTATTAATGATAATATCATCAACAATAACCACCAACACCCTTTCTATTCTGGACTTAAGAAAATTTTTTTTTTTTTTTTTGCCCTGACTAATTTTTTTATTTTTTTTTTTTAACTTTCTTTTTACCACTTGTCCAGCAAAGAAAATGTATTCTTTTGCAATAAACAAAAAAAAAAAAAAAAAAATTGAAAGAAAAACCAACACTGCTCTGCTTTTCTCTTTGGTGGCATCCAATCATTCCTGCTATCGATTAAATCTAATTATATTTACTGCTGCTTTAATCCCCCACTCCTTTCTCTTCTATACATTTTTAATATTTTTTCCCTTGCTCTCAGCAGAGGAAAGCATTCTTTTGTGTTTGATTGGCTTGAGTCACTGTTTTCTCAGAATTATTTAACTGGTATTTTTATATATATATATATATATATATATATATATATATATATATATATATATATATTTTTTTATAAATGACTAATGGTATGGCTTCTACTTCTCATGCAATCCCTATAAATGTACCACAATCCTTGTTTTTGGCTGCAAATCATCAGATTTGTATTGCCTTTACATTTTCAAAGTTCCAAATCCAGGCATTTGTCACTCCTGTTGGAAGAACACCTTCCTGATTCACCACTGGGGTAGGTTGATTTTTGACCTTTATTTTTCGTTAGAAAATCAACATTGTACTTGGAGTGAAAGCTGGGGTTTGATGTGATAAGTTCTGACACCAAAAATTCGATACATAGCTTTTACCAATTTTTGAGTATTTAGACTTAAAAATCGTTTGAAAAAAATGTACGTAGGTTTTGCTTACAAACTGACTTCAAAATTTTGCTATTTCAAGGATACATTCAAATAAAGTTGTATTAAATACATTGAATAGAAAACATTGAAACCAGAATTCTAATTATGAATTTCCACAAGCAAAATATGAATATTTTTTTATTTTTTTTATTTTTTTTTTTAATAGTATTTGATAAGTAAAAACTAAAAAGAAAAAATTGTAAAAGATTAAATAAAGGATACTCAATGAATAGATTTGTTACATCATTTGATAAATCATAATTAACAAACGCTAGATAAAAGTGTATATAACACCATAATATGGTTAGGCATATTATAAGAATGTTTTAAATTTGCGTTGTTTATTGAAAAATCACACTAAAACTACAGAAATTCATCAAAACAATTACCATAAAAGTATTTGTAGAAAAGGCACAAGTAAGTTACTTTACAGCAGTGGGAAAGTGACTGAATTTGAGATGCCAGATCAGTACCAATAACATTGCAGATTCTTTGCATTTTATTAAGAATCTAAATATATGACGAGCACCAGACCAGATAGAACTGCAATATTCAAAGCGAGGACGAATGATAGGCTTGTAAATATGCAAGATAGATTTTGGCTAGAAAAATGGTCTAGCTTGACACAGTGAACCAACTTTCCTAGCTGCAGACTCATCCCCTTTTCAAACCATGAAAAGACTATAGAAAATGTCCAGATCTGTCTTCATAGCCTCTGCTTTTTTGGGGTCAGCTACCTTTTGACAATTGCCAGATGGATTCCATGGTTTTCAATTTGCTTGGTTTATCACTTTTGACTGGCTTAGTTGTTTCTTCAGGTTTCTCCAGTGGTATGGGAGTGTTGCCAAGTGGTTAGAACATTTACTTTCTGATCATGACTCTGGTTTGAATCTCACCATAATTGATTTGTCAAGCAGGTGATTTCACCTTTGGAAAGTGCCTGAAAACCATACTATGGCTTCACCCAAGCCTTGTGAGGGAAATCATATAAATGGAACCCTCTGAGAACCATTGATGGTTATGCTAGCACAAAGCCACAAGTCATCGTGACCGAGGGTTTGGACATGCTGGCCTTGTTCAGACTGTTGATCATGCTAGATAACGTGTTCTCTCCCAGAAACTAACTGTGGACTGCTCAGTATAGTTGCAGTATAAACCACAGGTTGGCTCTGTGGGTGTTAAACAAACATAATTGCACCTGAGTGGGCGTCTGCAATAGGGATTAGCTAACCACTCTGGGGAGCAAGGTGGAGTAATGGATAGTAGCTTGGATTCAGGAATTGGAGTGCCAAGTTTGAATTCAAGTCAAATCCATTACATTCACTTACGTGCTAATACCCTTGGAAAAGGTATGAATCCTCTTCTTCTCCCTCCAGCTGTGGGTAAATAGCAGGACTGTTTGGGTTTTATAGCTTTGGGTGGTCTACTGCAGAAAAAAATGGCAACCTACCGAGGGGAAAAAATCGGCCTTGTCAGTCATGTATCAAGATACATGATTGTTTAAGTGTGTATCATGCATGGCACATAACTGACTAGCTGTATATGGCATCCTCAAATATGAGTGGCCAGCTATCCATGTCCAGTGGGGGACTTTGGCCACTTCTGAAAAGTGCCCTGTCCATCTGTTTAACACTTACATTGGTGTAGGTACGCTTATATGACTATGAAACTTACAAGGTCTGATCAAAAAGTATTGGGATATGGGGGATGGTGCTATAAAAATAAAACTGTTTTTATGTCTAAGGATCTCTCTCCTGGGGAAGCCTCACCCTTCTTCCTTTGCTTTAGAAGGGCAATATGTTTTAAGCCTGGCCATAATTTTGTTCATTACCAATTGCCATTATTTAGTGATATGTTTGAAGAAATTTCAGGTCAGTTTTTTTTGTGTGTGTACTCACACGCACACTGCTCCTAGATGTACTCCACTATATAAACCGAGGTTGGCTAAACTGAGGGTTGCAAGTTACGTGTGTCTCTCTGAAATTGAATGTGCAGCTTGAGGAAATATAACACCACCTCTAAAATAGCCATGGCATAGATTGACTGATTGAAACCAAATTTTGGAGAGAATTGAAAACAGGTAAGGGGGCTACAAATAAAAGTAAGGTTGGTTTTACTAGGGTGTATAGCTTAGAACAATAAATGTTCATTAATATTTTTTTTTTTTTTTTTTTTTTTTTGTAAAAGTAAGTTTTTTTATTCAACCAAACATGGCGTTTGTAAATCTCGACAAAAATTGTTAGCAATAACATAACTTCAGCAAATCTGTGAAGATTTAAACGTCAGCATTTTGAAAAAAATATAGTTTTTAAAAATTCAACCTTTATTTATTTATAATGATGATAATTTCATTATCATCTGTCTTTGTCGTCATCGTTTTTAACCTGACCTGCTTCTGAAATTTTAGCAGCAATCCATTGTGGTCGGGCCGAGAACTTTTCAGTTTTTATCGTTTTTTTTTTTTTTTTTTTTCATGCGCCTAATTTTATGTTATTCAAATAATTTTCTTGTTCCCTTAGTTCATGACCATATTAAACATGCTCAATACAAGCTGAAACGATCACCAGCCCAAATTTTAGAAATTTTGGCATATGAAATTATCTATTCTTTGAGATTCACACATTGACGTCCAACTGCATGCGAAAGTTTCGCAGTTTTTATTATGAGTTATCATTTCGTTTCTGGCATTTTCTAATATATTTTCATCTGCAACCCCCAACAATGA